GACGCTCTTCCGATCTCCCCAAAACCCCAAAACCCCATAGAACATTAATTATTCTGATTAGAATGACTATAGAAATAAATAAATTTAATTAATAGATGCATTCAAGCATCCTCACTATCAACTTCTGAGCCATATTCCTAATCTTCATCATCTTCATCACCATCTTCTTCATTTTCAGAGCCCTCATCTTCTTCTTCTTCATCCTCTTCATCATAATCTTCTTCTTCATCGTCATCCTCTGATGCCAAATCTGAATCTATTTCTACTTATTTGCCTTTCTTCAGCTATTAAACTTTCTTAATTTGTTCTTTGACCTTATCCTCAACTATACTTGACTTAATATCATTTTTATATTTCTAGATAGCATCTTTTTGTATTCTCTAAATTGCTTTCTCTCTTTTGTCAAGCTCCTTCATTTCGCGCTTCTTCATGCCTCCCTTTTCTTCATTTTAATCATTATCACCATTTTATTCTGCAAGCTTTTAAAGCTTTGCCTTCTTTTATTTGGCTTATTCTTTATCAGTAAGTAATACCTGAGAGGGAGCTGCTCTTTTCTCATCAACTAGCAAATGAGCTATCTTTTCATAAGACTTATCAAGTTTAGTCTCAACTAAGGTAGCCTATGACTACTTGTTTTTGCTTAGATTGAGTAATGGAAGCAAATCCTGATATTCACTGTCTAGTTTGTGAGAAAGATCTTAAGTTGCCATTTTTATTTCACTTTTAACCATTTTATATGCCTTTGATTTATTGATAATCTCCTCATAAATCTCTTTCCTACTCTTTTTGCCTTCTTTATCTTCTTTCTGCACTCCGCCTCCGAAATTCATTCTGGTTACCATCTATTCATCTAAATTTCCTTATCTGGTATCATTGTCATAACCTTCATCGTCACTTGATTCAGGAATCTAATCCTAGAAATCATCAGCCTCTTCAAGTTTTCTACCTCCGTGAGTGAAACCCATAAACATTTCTTCATCATCTTCAGAATTGAACTATTCAAGATTATACTTTGCTCTTTTCTTTGAGACTTTTGTCTGCTTAAGTTGATCTCTCTACTCCCTAAGATATCTAAGCCTCATCTTATCTTCCTCTGAAATCTTTGATGAGGTAGCACCTATTCTCTTGTCAATGAATACATTATTTTTCCCTCTTGTCTAGAATTCCTCAATCAATTAAGATCTCTAAACACTTTAATTAGATCAATTAAATTACTTTCTATTTATCTCTGACTGCCTTTTTAGATGTAGAATGCTCCTCGAAAGGGTTCTCTACAGTTTGCTTGGGTTTACCACCTTCAGGTTGATTTTCTCCATCGAAAAATCTGAATTTCTTGCCTCTCTTTCTCTTTAGTTTATTGCTTCCTTTTCCCTTATTTGCCATTTAATATTTAATATTGCTTATTATCACTATATTTAATGGCAAATATGAAAGTGGGGTTTTGGGGTTTTGGGGTTTATTGAAGCAAGTTATACACGTAGTTCA